TTTAAAAGGTAACAAGTTACCCATTGCTATTATGGGTAGATTTTTTAAAGTACAATGCCTTAATAAAAAATAATTTGAAAGTACATTGTTGTAATAAAGAAAAACAAAAGTAGAATGTTATAATATGAAATTTTATGAAAGTAGGTTGCTATTTCATGCATTTTGCCCGAAATTTTATGAAAATAGGTTGCTATTTCATGTACAATATATTTTGGTAGTAGAATGCTATACATTTATTTATAACATTATTTGAATTTTCGGGCCGGGCCGGGCCATAGCCGGTCCCAAAACGGGTCCCGGTCCCACGAAACTACCAAAAACCCCCAACCGGTCCCCATTTTTGGTCCCATAACCGGTCCCTCACCGGACCGGGCCGATTTGGCCATCACTACTTACAAATACTGATATTTGATATATGCATTTGATTTTGGAAACATAGTATCATAAAAGTATTACTGAAAACATTGATGTTAAAATATTTTGTATAACAAAACTATCATGTTTTCTATTGAATATTCTTTTTAATATTAAAGAAATGTCATATTTCAATGAAACGGATAAAGTTGTAAAAAAAAAGGTTTGTGCTATCTCTTAGGACGTTTTTATGATACAGGTCTCATGACCGTAATGAAAAAATTATACCACGATGTCTAAAGCAGAACGAGCAAGACTGGATTTAAACCTAAAATCTTATTATATCTTGTTGTGGAAAACTCCAACTTTTTTTCTTGGCTTGAGCAATTCAACAAGACCAAGACCTTGTTTGTTTTTTGAAAAAAAAAAATCTTATTAGTCTTTTATGTATGATTCGTTAAGAGGTAGTCATTCAAACTGCTTGTTTTTTCCAATTTTTCAGAGACACTTATATTTTATTGTCTTTTTATCTGGTAAGAGGTAAACCAACATTCTATTTGTCTCGTATTGTTTTCGAAACCTTTAGCAAAGTCATTTCTCAATCGATAAACCTTAGTCGATCATTTCTTTCGATTGATTATTACAAGATCGATTCTCACATATCTCAATTGCTGTACTTTAATAAGATTTAAATATGTTAAATACCGTTGATGACATATTTTAGTTTAAATAAATGCTAATTATATATCTTAAATATAAATTTTGTAATGATGATGAATAAATATGTAAAATTATATAAACTTATATATAAATTCAACATCAAAATTTTCTAATCGGTAAAATAGACAATTTAAACAAATTCAAGCATTTATTAGTTTACAAAAACAAACAATCATATTAATTCAGATTACATACTTCTATATTATCTTTTATTAATCAGAAATAAAATAACACTTCAGATTTCGACACCATAAAAAAGAAACAAAACTCAAAGGTTAAGAAACCGTGAATGTTTATTGACCCTCTCAACAATGATGCTTTGACAAAGGGCCCACAAATGTACTTGGCTTGTTATCCATTACTACTTACATGAATCTTTTGTCAATTATATGTCACATTAAATTTTAGTTTTATAAATTGGGTATTTTAATTGATGTTAGACACCTTATTAAGTACATTACTTGAAGTTTAAGTGAATCACAATAATTCTTTTTTATCACATTAATATTTTTTTTTTCAAAAAGAAAAACTTAACAAGAATCTATAAAAACAAGTGTGATAACATTGTTTATAGATTAAAAAAGATAAAATAAAAAAATTATATATATATATATATATATAATTTTTTTTTCGATTTCAATGGGTTTTCTTTTTGTTGCATACTTGCATTTGGCTTTTGTTAACGGACTGATCAACTTTATGACGAGATTATATTGTTGTAAGGGAATGAGTAGTTATTTCAGCTTTAGAACTTTTATTTTAAATTACAATATTTGATACACCGTTGAATGAATAATTTTTACTACATGGATCACAGTCACAACTTTATAGCGATTATAACTTAAGTAGGAAGACCACAATAGAGTCATTGTTGCTATAAGCCTCAATTCACACATTTAACATGATTTGTTATTGTTAAAATCAATTGTGATTATGTTTATGAGTTTACATCTCTATGTTTTTTAATCGGTCTGTGATGCTAAACAACTGAAACTTAAATTAATTGATTGCAAAAATCTTTTATTTTTCTCATGATAGCCTCTGTCACTATATTGGACTAACACTACATGATAAATGATGGTAGCTTGTTAGTTTATGAGTATTTCTTAATTCTAATAGCTAATATTTAACGCCATCGACGTGTAACTTAGTTTGGCAAAGAGACAGGACGACATGTAACGCACTTGATGAATAAGTGAAACGACTTTGTTCAAATACAAAATACCATCATTTATCATAAGACTTTGCCTCTGTCGTTGAATGAGAAAAATAGACCTTCAGATTGATATCCTTGGACTAAAATTAATAACATCAATATTTTTATAATAATTTTTTAGGATAAGTATATAACTTTTAGTAAAAGTATTTCTAGTTATATAAATATAAATTTATTAATATTCTGGGTTATATAAATCTTTAGGTGTAATTAGGGGGTGTTTGGAATTGCTTATTTGAAACAACTTATGATTTGTCTACAAAAACACTTATCAGTCCATTATAAGTTAGAAGAGTTTAACTTTTTTAAAAACTCTTTATTACTGGTTTCGCACCGATATAAGTTGTTTATCCAAATGCTCAAAAATGCTTATTACTGGTGTGTCACCAATAAATTATTGTTGTAAACAATCCTAAACAACACCTTAGTTGAACAATTTAATTATTTCATCTAAAAAAGATAAATCAGGAAATTATGTTTGTTTAAAAGGCCAAAAGCCGTGTGCAAGAGAGGGAGAAAAATAGAATAATTTCAAACTACGCAAATCGTTTCCTGTTCTTCTCTCTCCTTCACCAAACGTCGCAACGGTTCGCCGTCGCGTAACGGCGGCGCGGCTTCTTCTTCTTCTTCTCCTACGTCGGGACTTCCCTGTTACTTGATTTCTCTGTTACCAGTGTATTGTATTTTGCCATTTCTCTTCAGTTACATCTAGTTCACGGCAATCAGTAAAACGCACGGTAATTTTTCATTTACTTGTTCCTACATTCATCGCGATATTCTTTTGGAGGTTGCTGTGAACTCTTGGTTGCATTGTGTGATGCTATTTCTGGTGCATTTATTTATCAAAATTTCGGTTGATTGCTATGATGTTAATCGCGACTTAATATCTCCATTTCCCATTTTCTAGGTTTTTGATGAATGTTAGTTTTTGTATGAGTTTGTGATGCTTAAACGCTTCACCTAGAGATATATCTTTGCTGTGATTTTTAAGTTCAGTTTTGATTATTATCTTGTTCTAGACGTGGCACCCAGGAATCAAAGATTGCTGGGTTAGATTGCAGAGCATCTTGAGAATTCTTTGCATTGATAGCTATAGTTTGCTGCTTCTCATAGAAGTGACAATTCGCTTCTTGCTAAAGATTGTAGATGCCGTCACAAATTTATATTTGTTCAGAAAGGGGTCCCTCAAAATGTATCTAGCACGCTGGCTCCAAGCTTATTACTTTTTCTCTTTCTGCTCTTGATGTTCAATGCTGAGGCTGTTTAGACATTGTTTAATGTTAGGTAAGATGAAGTACAGCATACTCTTATGCGTTTGTGGTTTTTGTTAACTTTTAGAGAAATTAGCAGTTTTTATGCTTGGACAATAATAAAGCGAGATATGTTCCTTTTGATAGTATATATGCCTTTTTGCTTAGATGATTCTATTTGTGGAAGTGAGAGGTTAGAGTAGAGATGAAGAAAATTGGACAAGTTTCTGTTTCTTTATTCATAGTTGGTGACTGCGTAAATTTTGGTTTATCATTTCCAGGTTTCTTCTCTATTTTTCTAATGTGATGAACAGGAATAGGTTTACTTGAAGATTGTGTTTCATTGTCTGTCCATTTGGTTTGTAGCACTGCTGATGTTTAGAGCTCATCATCATAGATACCAGTATATTATGCTGTTTGTTGAATAATAGAAGAACATTAAGAAATACTTGAGCACCTTGTTCTCCTTTTCTTCTTTTTAGGACAGTATGCTTGGAATTGCAGTGATCATCTTATTTTAGGCACTAAAAGTTCTTGTAATTGTATTTATTATATTTGCATATACAAAGAAAAAGGAGGAAAAGGTGAATTGAAATATTTTTGACTTTCAAAATGACTCTACTTTTGATTAATTGTCACAATGGTTTATGCATAGTTGATGGTAGCTCGGCAGGCTGTGGTTCGTCCAATGATTTTTAACATTATGCCGGATTCAGTTCATTTTTGCTAAACTAATTCATTAATTTATTGATTTTTTTGACTTTATTTGTATCATGGTTTTCAGACCTATTTTGGTTGTGGAGTTTGCAATTTAATGATTGTGGTTATTGTTTCTGACAGGGTTACAAGATGATTGGATCCTTTTTTACCAGAGGGCTTGTGTATGTCAGTTAACTCGTATCTTTTCTGTTGGGAGAATTTATTTTTGATTTCTCTGCTGATGGCACTACTTAATTACGTGCAGGATGGTGTTTGGTTATGCATATCCAGCCTATGAGTGCTTCAAATCAGTGGAGAAGAACAAGCCTGATATCGAGCAACTCCGCTTTTGGTGCCAATACTGGTATTATCATGTGTTGCTGGTAATAAGAGAGCTTTGTGCTTAAAAGTTAAAACCTTATAGATATTATTTTCAGGATCTTGGTTGCTGTACTAACCGTTTGTGAAAGGATTGGTGACACATTTATTTCATGGTAAGAACATAAATTAGATGTTGATAAGGTATGACTCTGACAAACTTTTAGCTTTGCCTTTTGTTATATTGGCTTTCCTGTTTTCTACTTGTGAAGGGTTCCTATGTACAGCGAAGCGAAGTTGGCATTTTACGTGTACTTGTGGTACCCCAAAACAAAGGTATGGTTTTTTTTGTTTCAGCTCAAATGAAATGTGTACGACTGAAGTGGGCTTTTATTCTCTTTCAATTTTCATCATAGTTGTTTATTCATTCCAATCATTTCAGGGGACAGCATATGTTTATGATTCCTTTTTTAGACCCTACATTTCAAAGCATGAAACAGACATTGATCGTAATTTGGCGGAACTGAGGATCATGGCTGGAGATATGGCAGTTTTGTACTGGCAAAGAGCTGCAAACTATGTTCAAACAAGAACTTTTGATATTCTTCAATATATTGCCTCTCAATCAACACCGAAGCCTCGACCTTCTCAGGTATTATGATTTATATGGAATAATTGTGCTTTCCTGTCTGGCCTTGACAATTTTATTTGCTATCATACAATGTGGGTTTCTCGTCAGTTGCAGCATATAATTGGCTTAATATTCCCAATTTGGAAAGAAAATCTGTTGCATCTTGGTCTCTTGTCTTCTAGATGGGGTGGGTAGCCATCTCTTCAGTGAGGTTTATGAGAGTTCCATGCAAATTACAAATCATGTGGTATTGCCAGTGCTGATGAATGATGTTTGATACTGCACTAGTGGTGGGATTCAGATTGTTTTAGTGTGGAGATGGCTTGGTCCTTGGAGTAATTCAATCATCTGAATGGCAAACCAGTTGCTAATCTTTTATCCAATATATTCTGATCTAGTGATCACTTTAACCACTAATTTATAACATGCAGTTGTAAAACGCATTCGTGTTGGCTTCTTTTGGAACAACTTAGATGGTCATATCACAATATGCCCTTATGTTTTTGGAATAGTAAATATCTTACAAATAAAGGTTCTGAGGAACTGTGCATGGCTGCATGCTTCGTTCTCATTGCTACCATGTGGTTCATAGCATTCACTAGTTTAATGGACATGATCGGATAACATAACTTCTTCTTGAGTGGACCATATTTTGGTGCCAAGTTAGGACTTGGGGTCTAGCTTACTTATTTCTCATGATACCTGATGCTCTACTTCGATTGAACATTTCACACTTTTCGGTATTTCTGTAACAAAGAGTATTTTTACATCTGAAGGCTTATTTTATTTTTCGTCATACGAACAGGGAAAATTTGAAGTATTAATTTTATTATTTGTGCAATCCTTTTGAACTCCTAACCTACTTCTATCTTCATGTGAACCCAACCTACCTTTATCATGTAATTGGATTTGGTAAGTGTAAAGAAAAATGCGACTTATTTGTGGCTGTATGCTAATACCAAGTCTAGCATTTAGGTAATTTGTCTTGTTACTTTGCCACACAATTATCAAGGGGTTAACTGCATACTTGTTTGTGATGAACTGCTCTGTGTTTGAATGCAGCTTATGTAGCCTTTAAGGTTAAGTTCTTTATGCTTATATTATAGTTGAAGAGTGCAAAAATCAAAGAATGAGTTGCTTTTCTAACCATTGTACTTTCAATTTTGTAATGAAGAACATCATAATTGGCAAGAATGCATGGAAAAGCTTTTGTAGTTGACAAAAATGCACGAAAATAACATCGTACTTATTAAAATTTAACCATTTATGTGTTCTTGCTAACTAGCAATGTTTTCCATACATTTATAAAAGCATAATGGTTGATCACCACGTTTTTGCCAAGTAAAATGGTTAGAAATGCTATTCACTCAAAAAATAAAGTAATTGGACTCACCCTAGATCGTACTCTTGATTGTCTTTTATCATTTTTGTTATTTTGGTGGTTACTGGAAAAGCTTGTTCTGTTCTTGAGTGCAGCTTTTCTATCAGATCTGAATAAAAGTATGTAGAACTTCTTGTGGTAATAATATCATCAACATATATGAGAACATGACACATGTGAGGCGAAGTACAATGCATGAACAACGAAGTGTCTAAAACACATTGTGCAAAGCCAAGATGAACAGGAGAATACAAGAGCTTCTCAGACTGTGCTTGTGAGGATACTTGAGTCCATAGATAGCCTTCTTGAGAAGGCCAACATGATGTGGCTTAGCAGTGTAACAAAACCAGGAGGCTGAGACACTTAGTTTTGTATGGTAGCCATCTGAAAAGGAATTATTGACATCAAACCCAACAAATATATCCGCTGCAAGGATAGGCAGCTGACAGTTAACCCTAATAGTGGTAGTAGGCTTAACTATAAGGTTGAACTTCTCCGAAAAATCAACTCTCTGTCTGAACAAAACCCTTGGCAACAAGATGGGTTTACAACAACTAATAGATCGTTCTGAATGGACTTAAGCTTGTACAAACCCTTGCAACCTACAATATTAGCATGAGGAGATGGAACCAAAACCAAAGTCTAATTAGTAATCAAAGCAGAACTTCAGGAGTCTTACTAGCTTGGGAAAAGTAGTGATTTCAGTAATGTGAGTAGGGGTTATGTGGTGAGAAGCATCGTAAAGAACATTATCAGGAAAGATTTAGGATTATTATTCTGGTGTAGATGTAAAGACCACTTCTTGACTGCTGTAGGCTGTGGAGGCGATGGGATCAAAATAGATATAACCTTTATGTTTAGCAACATGCCCGAAGAAAAATGGAAGCAACATATTTAGGGGACAATTTGTTATTCTGAGTGAAATCTAGAGAGGATAACAAAGACATAGAAAGGTGTACACCAAATGATAATTACATGAAGAAAATAGAAGTTGCAAAAGCGTCAAATCGTTGGGCCTTTGGTTCGCAGAATGGATTTTGGTGGAATTAGAATCCATCAAAGGAATCTGACTTTGAAGGAATTGGAATGATATTTGACCATGTGTTTGGTTGGTAGGAATTGGGGGGGGGGGTTGTGACGATGACAGCAGTGTCGTGGGGTTGGGGTGGTAGTTGTGACGACGACAGTAGTGGCATGGTGGCCGGTGGGATGGGCAGGGGTGGCAGGTGTGACAACAACAGTGGTGGCATGGTGGCCGGGTAATGAGGGCCGGGGGGGTGGGCGTTGGGTGGGGGTGTCGATAGTAGCATGGTGATCAAGTGGTGGGTTGGGGTAGGGTGGGTGGTGATTGTGACGATGACAGTAGTGGTGTTGGGGGGGCTTAGGGGTTGGGTCGTGACAGTGACAGTAGTGGCATGGTTGTAGTGGCGGCAACCTGCAGGTGGGCTTTGTTGGTTAAATTGGATGGAAAGGGATGGAATTCAATTCCTATGAATTCATTAATTTGTGGAATTCAAAGGAATATAAAGGATTCCATCTATTTCAATATGTGAACCAAACAAAGAAATTGGAATTTGGTCAAAGGAATTGATCCATTCAAATTTCCTTAAAAAAATTTGAATTCTGCGAGTCAAACAACACCTCAGGATTTTGGTAAATAGAGCTTGAAAAGAAGAGTAAAAGCCATATTTTTGCAAATTTTCCTTTCTGCAAGGCTGCAACCATTTTGTTGGCGAGTGTAAGGCAAGAAATCGGATAGATGATGCTGGAGTCAAGAAGCAATTGTTTGTCATAGAAGGGTCTTCATAATGATGTTTGAAGTGGCGAAAACAATGAATAGCATGCAAACGAGTATGTAGGGAATAAAGCCACATGAATCGACTACAGTTATCGATAAAAGGGATGAAATATCGAAAACCAAATCGTGAGATAGTAAGCAAAGGATCTAAAATGTCACAGTGAGAGTGAAGGATAGATAATGGTTTTTTACCGCGAGACATAACAGGATAAACGGGTAATATTGTACTTTTAGCATAGTTTCAAGCATATTACTGGAAGGCAATTGTATGTCATCCTTATTTGGTTAAAAACTCAGTAAACCAAACATAGATTGAGAGCTTGAGACTATGACCGAAACGAGTTTGCCTTGCTGAGTGTAATGCAATTTGCCATACCATGTTCCACAGTGACTATTATTCTGACTAGCCGTTTTCTTTTCTTGGTTTTGTAGACTATTGGTTACGCTGTACCTGATACATATATAGTTACCTCAATTGTGTTAATAACAAAGTTGTAGCACCGAAAACCTATTTGATTGAATTACTTCAAATTACAGGCACAAGAAGCTGGGAGAGGTCGTAAGCCTCCTGCAGCTAAGCAAAAGGGAGCAGCTGCTGTAGTCCATGAGGAGACCAAAGAGCCATCAACTTCTTCAAGCTCATCCTCATCATCATCTGGTTCCCATCAAATAGAGAAATCAGATGCAGCAGAAGAAGCAGCACCACCAGCTTCTGCTGTCTTGAAAGCGCAAAAATCACAAATCTTAGCTGCGATTACACAACTTCAAACCACTAGTGAAGCTGCAGCAGAGATTGAATCTTGTTCTTCTGATGCAAACCCCAGTCCTGCACCTAAAGAGACCATCATGGAAGAGCCTGTTCGTGTTACACGTGCTAGGTTGAGAAAAGCAAAATCAATTCAGTGAACCACAACCAAGTGTGGCTCAATGGACTCCCGAGATAACAAAATCCATATATGGGTTTGCAAGATACGACAGCGGAGTAGAGCTGGACAAATGGATGTTCAAATATTCATGTTATATCAGTTTCTCTGTTTGCCATAATATTTGGGTATTCTTCTACATCTGTGTTTTCTCACCCCATTTTAGGGGCATATAATATGAATAACTAAGAAATAGGAAAAAACCCCAATAAGTATAGGGATCGCTGAATGAACCATTAGTTGGGATTTGGTGAGAAAGGGCATCGTTAATCTTGGAACCATGTTCTACAGCTTCTTACGGCTTTCATTTACCAAGGTACAAACAAATGTACACACAAATCCTTTTTTTATCGGTCACTTCACATTTTGTAAAACTGTATTTGTGACGAAGAGGGAGTAAATGTTTGCATAGCGGGCAAAATATAACTAAAAAATAATCAGTGCCAAATATTTAGGGACTTGTAATTATGAGAGCAACTCTGTTGCATGGTACATGGATGATAAAAGGAGGTGTCTGAAACTGAAATGAGCATCATTAGATCATATCCGGTCACAATATGAGCGATCAGATTGTAAATGAAACAAAAAGAGTTTTTTTATAAAAAAAATAAAAATAAGTAACCAATCTCTACCGTCCTTCTCACCCAACAATCTAAATCCAATGGAATTTCGAAATGAAGATATTTTTATTTGAAAATTATTTCAATTCAAATAAAAAAAATTGAAGCATTTTTTTACTAAATAAAATTGATATGTGACATTTTTTTGTTGGTTGGTTTAATCTTTTTTAAAATAAAATTTATCCCAATTAAAAAGTAACTAAACAAAAAAAATTAAAAATTAAAAAATATACTAAAGTTCATGGTTTCAATTCCTTAGAGATAGATCACACTACTGATATATTTTTTCATACTTACTTTTATGACTTGTCTTATTTAATTTCAATTGTATGATAAGTTTTTTTAGCTATAATTACGTTCTAAAATATGCAATAATCCGTTTGATTTTTTTATATTAAAATAAAAAATAATAAACGATAAAAATAATATATATATAATTTTTACAAAATTGTATTTTAGATTGGATTGAATCACAATTAAATGAAAAAAAGAAAAGAAAAGAAATGAGATTGAGTTCGAGTTCGAGTTGAAGATTGTCTAGATGGATGAGAGAGAATAATATTTTAATTGAGATTGGGTTAAAGAGATTGAGCTTAAGTTGAAGATTGTTTATATTAATGCATATCCAAATAATAAAAAATTCAAAATCTTTAATTAAATAACTAATATATATGAATATTCTTTTCTTACACTCTCACAATATTTAGTTTTATTATTAAAAAATGGCCCCTATTCATATATTTTAAATTAAAAAACCAAAATTAAATTATACTTTTCATATTTTGCGATTATTCTTATAAAATGAACATGTTTTGTTTACATAAAAGCACTTTTCATGATCCAAGTCGTTCGATTTGTTATAATGACGTTGTGTAGAAAATGAATTTATTAAATAAATAAGAGAAAGCAGCATGATTATTGATCATACCATACCACATGTTATTTTATTTTATTATAATGGAGTAGGTACAATTTTCATTTAAAAACAAAAGCTATTAACGTAAGCTCTCAACCACACCCTCTCCCCCACCACCTTAGCTTTGCTTCCTAAAAGCAGCGTGTCTACCGATTTCACCATAGCGGCTTGCTCGAATTCATAATAGCCTATTTATATTCAATCGTCGAGATTGAGTGTTCGAACCTCGTTCTTATGGCATATAACCTTTCTTCCTCTCAACCCCAATCTTGGGACGAAGTTATCCAAAACCAAAAGCATCAAAAACTGAAGCACCAATCATGGTTGTGGCGTAAAATTACAAAAGTATTTGGTTGCAAGAAGGTTGAACGTTTAGAAGTTGAAGACCCCACAAAGACCCCGACCCGATATTTGAAATTGGGGACTCCAACCAATTCATCTCTCTCACCATCACCGTTGTTGTTGCACCCCTCACTACGTTCTCCAGTCAGACGTCGTTATGGGTAATTAACAAAAAAATGTAAAGATAAAGAACATGTTTTGAATATTGTTGTACGTTTACGTGTGTTTTATTTTCATTTGGACGGTTATTGGATTAAAGTTGATTTAACAAAATGAAACTAAACTATGGCTTATGTTATGTAATCCAATTATAAGAACATATTAACCATTATGTGTTGTTATAAACGTTCGGTATAAAATATTCAATTGATACACGAACTAGTAAGCTTATACTTACAATCAAGTATATTAATGAATTTGAACTTATTATTACAATTAATGAAAATATATTCAAAATTTATCGTACTTATATTCTTATGGTGATATTTTTTGTTTATTGCACGAAAAATGTTGCATATATATATATATATTTTAATTAATATAAATTATTAATTAATTCTTTT